CCCATCCCCACCGCCGCCGCCGCCACCGCCACCGCCACCGCCACCGCCGCCGCCGCCACCGCCACCGCCACCGCCACCGCCACCGCCACCGCCACCGCCACCACCACCACCACCACCACCACGACCACCACTGCGACAATAACGCCTTAATTGTACTAGTGTTGCTGCGGGGCAAGTACTTCTACTGTTATCATCCCTTAGCATGGTGATCCCTCCGGCTAGCATCACAATGAAGGCCGCCGACGCCACTGCTCCTTCTGCCCACGACCAACAACATTTTGATTAGCAGACCCTATAAAAGCTGCCGCCAATGGCTCCACGCCAACAACCAACCTGTACCCACAACAAACTGCAGACCCACAACAGACGACTGGAAAACCAGCAGTGAGCACTAAACTCCGGGACACAGAAGCAGCTGAGAGGCCACAAACAACAACTGACTTCAGGCATCAGGCAGCAGATGTCGGGCGACCAAGAAGAGGAGATGAACAGCCCGCAGCAAACAATCAAGAACCGACCGCCAAACGCCGAGAGCCAACTATCAATCTTGAACAGAGAGCCAGTCGAAAACTAAAAACCACAAACAGCTGCAAACCGCAACCGCCAACACAAATTTCCTGATAGGCCGATCCTTGCTGCCATAAACACGAGAACAAAGGAAGGACAAGAGCAAGAACGAGGACAGCAACGTCAAATGGTGATGACAACAATCATGATTCCCAGAAGAAAAAGATGATGACAAACTCACATATGACACTAAAGGAAGCTGTAGCGACACTGAGCCGCTGGTTTCAACGTTGAGTTGGCTTCAGCTGTCAGCATGCAAAATGGTTTTCGCAGGCGCCTGCTTAGGCACGGCTGGAGGCTGCCTTGCACAGGGCAGCTGCACACGAAAGCAATGTTCACCGCAAGTAAGGCTCTGGGGTATACTATAGTATATTCTGGTGTATACTATAATGTATCACTATGGTATATTATAATATTTCCCTAAATAGGGGGACCCCAATATGGACCCCAATAAATTGTAATCCCTATTATATAATTATGGTACCGGTAATTTTGGGAAACCCCCAGGGTCACTGCAAGTAAGGCTCTGTTGCTTAGGGCTTACAGTAAGCCTTAGGCAGGTGTGTCCCTTCGAGATCCGAAACCAACCAGCCAAGCTACCATTGCACCACCACAGCGTCGTCCAACGCCGACACATTGGCACTCACTCCTTGCAAGGTATCACACAACTATGCAGGTGATCACAGCCTCTCTGCACAAACATGTGTTGCTGGCAGTACCTGCCAGGGCTTTGCGAAGCACTTTGATTGCTGAGAGGCTGATCATGGTTGGCTGCGAAGTGTGGAGCGGCGTTGCTCTTCTGAAGCCGAACCATGAGAGGAGATGGCGCCTGAGCTCTGATTGCGGGAGACTTCGACTTGTGTTGGTGATGTCATCAAGTTTGTCTATTGCATCTATTGGTGGTGAGCAAGCTACGAAACCAATAGCACGGACCATAGCAGGTACCTCAGATGCTTGAACAGCCGGCAAAGGTGGAGCACTCTCGGGATGCAAGCACCATTCTGCCATGCTACAGGCCGTTGATGGCTATGATTGGCAAACGCAAGACGGCAGAGACGGGCTCCCAGGACTGCGACATCAAGATCACAGTCACCCAGACCTTCGCAGTCAGGCTCTGCTCAGGCTGCAGTAAGGCTCCACATACACAGCGCATTCAAGGAATGCACATTGCCTTTGGAAGTTCGCTGTATAGAGCAAATGCCAGCGTGGTCACACCTCCATCTCAGGATGGTAGGCGACTGTCACTGCTGCATGATAGCTGCTGCATCTGGGAGCAGCACACATGAAGATGCTGTACTGGGAGGCCGTTCTCTTCGGAGCATTCATCGGCGCCAGGCCGCAGAGCAAACAGGAATGAGGCAGAATTTCTGCTTCTGGCAGAATGCGACGACTCGCTGCCGTCACACCTGCCATTCAAGCAAGATATCGACAGCCCGGTCCCCAGCATCTTGTCTGTGGGTGGCAGTGCCTTGCGGGGCCTTCCGCGACGCGGAAGATGGCACAACACTCAGGGCCTGTGCAGGCTTGGCACGAAAGCACAAGGAGATGTAAAAACATCAAACGTCCCCTCCCCCAATGATGCCAAGTCTTCTGTCTGGACATGTCTACACCTTCAGGTAAACTTACTAGTGGTTAGTAGGGAATAACAAATATGTTGTACAGGGATTAGATAGGGCTTGTAGTCCCTTGTTCCCTACTAACCAGCAGTAAGTAAACACAACCGTTTGGTGCGGCCCCGCCTGGCCATTGCTCCCTGGCTTGGCACGACACAGCAGCTGACAAATTTCAAAGTAGGATAACCCACGTGTGGCTGACATGTCGCAAGGCATATATCGGGTATATGTTGGGTTTACATTGGGTATTTACTGGGTATACATTGGGCTTATATGGAGTATATTTTGGGTTTATATTTACCCTAAAACCTAAAGCCCGTGTGTGTGTGTGTGTGTGTGTCTGCAAGACCCGAGCACTCCAACCGCTTAAAAGCAACCCGACCCGCGCGTCCTCTCCCCGGCGAAAGTCGGGAACCAGGGGTACCTGCACCCAACAAACGCTCACCAGGTCACCATTTACCTATACAATGATATGTATGTGTATATACGATATAGATATATACCAGAATGTGCAAGTACATTAAAAAATCAATATATAACACTACTATATATTGCTACAGTATACTACTATAACAGTAGAGTAATAAATCAGTGTATAGTACTTTAAAATAGTACCTATATACTTATTACCTAAACCCTAAACCCTAAACCCATTATTACCTAAATAGTTCCATATTTCTATGCTTTTGGCAGCTTCGCGCAAGGCCCCGCCTCGCGGACTCCGCAGGGCCTCTTGCCGAGAGTGCGTCCTGCTTTGAAGGTCATCAAGTTAGAAGATCCATGCTACCAGGGATTATGGTTTAGGTGTTTAGGGTTTTGGGCTTAGGGTTTAGGGTTGAGGGGTTTTGGGGTTTAGGGGTTTTGGATTTAGGGTTGTTGCTGCTTTTCTTTTGGGGCTCTTTCCGCAGCAAGGAATGTCCTTTGGTGCAAGGTTTAGGCTTTGGGTTTCAGACCCCCAAATGGAGAACCAAACGTAAAAGGAAATGCAGAATGACTAGGATTTCATACGGATAGATAGCGGCATGCACCTATTACAGGGTTTCCATCTCAGATCTTTTCCCAGCTTTAAATGGAAAAGAAACTTGAAACTACTACTTGTATTTAGGGTGGGGTTTAGGGAATGGAAAAGAAAATGAAATCTACACTACTGGGGAATCAAATGGAAAACACCATTTGAAAATACAAGGAAACTCATTAGGATTACCCAGGGATGAAGTAGGCCAATGGAAAAGAAAATGGAGACTACCACATTAGAGCAGCTTCATTAAATCCTCAGCCCTAAACCCGAAACTCATTGTACTTTCCCAATATTTTTTTACAATCCCGTCGACTCTTTAGCATACGCTCGGGGTCCATTTTAGCCCAGTCAGCCACTACGAGGCCCTTCAACACCTAAACCCTAAACCTAAACCCTGAACCAAAACCTTAAACCCGTAACCCTAAACCCTAAACCCCTAAGCTTTAACCCCTAACCCTAAACCCTAAAGGTTTAGAGTTGCCGCCTGAGCCATCCGTCCCACTCCCGGTTCCGCAGGGGAGAAGTTGGCGGAGCCGCACCTGTTTGGATGTCACCTATCTCGATATGAGCTGTAATCTAAACTGCTAGGGTTTAAGGGCTTAGGGTTTAAGAGTTTAGGGTTTAAGGGTTTAGGGTTGAAGGGTTGAGGGTTTAAGGATTTAGGGTTTAAGGGTTTAGGGTTTAAGGGTTTAGGGTTTAGAGTTTAGGTTTGAGGGTTTAGGGTAATGTTTTTTGGTGGTTCAACCCAGTAAGATAATATTCATGATATGAAATAAGGAGGATACAATCTTACTCTACATTGGGTACCATAATATCCCCAGATAAAATACTACTCATGTAATATGAGCTGTAGTCTAAACTCCCAGTATCCCCTTAGTAACTCTAGGACCTAGGCTAAACTCCTAGTATCCCCCTTAGTAACTTTAGGACCTAGGGTTTAGGGTTGAGGGTCTAAACTTCTAGTATCCCCCTTAGTAAGCCTAGGGTTTAGGGTTGAGGGTCTAAACTCCTAGTATCCCCCTTTGTAACCCTGGGGTTTAGAGCTGAGGGTCTAAACTCCTAGTATCCCCCTGAGTAACCTTAGGATTTAGGGTTGAGGGTTTAGGGTCATAACTCCAAGTGTCCCCCTTAATTTCCCTAGGATTTAGTGTTGACGGATTCGGGTAAACTCTTAGTATCCCCTGCAAAACACCTAAAATACTCTCCTAGATAATCCCCGTATAACCCCGTTTTAAGGATGTTTTCTTTATGGCTATATAGCCTGTACTTCATATATACGCCCTATTGACTGTCAAGCGGAAATATTCCTCCTACATAACTCTAGTGTCCATTTCATGTGCCATGTTCCCTTCCATTTGATTCTGCATTATTGGGCATCTCAAAATACAACCTCTATGGTGATTACCTAAAAAAGAGCCGTCGTCTAAACTCCTAATATCCCCCTGAACAACCCCTATAATACTTCCCTATATAGTCTCCTGCATACACCGAATTCCCTGATAAACCCCCCTTAAAGAAGTTTAGACTACAGCTCACCTGGCTTTGAGTCTCGGATCTACGCCCTGCCTGGAGCACCCGGGATACTAGTTGACCTGGCTGCGATAGCAGTAAGAAGACTAGTAGTAATGATAATAGTAATAGTCATAATAATAATAGTCGTCATCAGAAAAGTAAAAAAAATAGCAATAACAGTAGCAATGATAATAGTAGTAATAAATAAATACAGTAAGGATAACGATGAAAATAGCAATCATAGCAAATTCACATTCCTGCCTCAGTGGCGCCGAGGACATGAGGCTGTCAGCTACCATGCCCTCCTTGCAATTGGTCAATATAGTATAATGCAACATAGTATGGTATATTGTAGTCTATGATATTTTCTATATCTTAATCTACTATATCATACAATATATCATAACATGGTATCGCATGTTATTGTACATCATAGACATATTACAAATATCATAGACCAGCCCGACAAGCTCGTGTCAGTGCGTATTGCTACTAGAATTTACTGCTATCATTACTACTATGACTATTGCTACCGTCATTACTATTGCTACCATTATTATTACGTGTATTAGTATTACTGTTATTACTACTGTTATGGTTGCTGTTCTTACTATTCTAAACATCTCCTGCTGGCTCTGGCTCAAATGACGCGCATGAGCAGCATGAGCATGAGCCGCAGGAGGGCCTGGAAGCCAAACACAGCTCCACAAGTAGTATAAAACATGAAAATACATTACAAAAATTTCGTATAATATAGTTCAGTATAATCTGTGAAAGCATGTTAGAATATATAAAAGTGTTAATAACCATGTCTTATAACTCATATAGTATCCAGCCCTAAAGGGTCGCATTGAGCCCAGGACGCATCCCATGATGCGGTTCATGCAGCGCAGTCACCTGAAGTTCAAAGTATAACACAGCACAGTTTAGGACAGCTTGTGTCCAACCATAGCAGAATCCCCAACCTCGGGGCGGCATGCTTCGAAGTCAGGACCCCCTCCCGCCTGCACAGTTGGACTGTAGAGTTCAAATCTCATTGTATACCCTCAGAAGCACCTTGCCAAGCTCTGCTATCAGCTGGTCCTTGAGCCGGACCTCTGAGTCCACCATGAGCTTCAGCTCATCGCACTCCTGCGGCGTCTCCCAACAATATCACACATGCGACGGGCGCGCAATCGTCCAAATTTCCCGGGGTCCTGCTGGAGCAGAGCCGTACGCTGGCGCACGGCGTCCTGCCAGCGGCGCTGCTCCCAGGCACCAGGTGCCCATCGCAGCTGCGGCGCGTAGAGGCTGAAGACGCGCAGCCAATCCGGCCTGGAGGGGTCGGCTGAGTCTACGTTGGATACCCAAAAGGGATCAGGCATTGTATGCGAGCTATTGTCTAAACTCCTAGTATCCCCCTTAATAAATCCTTTAATGCTCCCCTATGTAATCCCCTATATAACACCCCTTGAAGGAGTTGAGACGATAGATCATGATATAACCCTTATATATCCCTGTATATAGCAGTTTCCATGTCATTTTCCATTTTCTTTTCCATCTGATTCTCCAAACCCTAAACCCTAAATCCTAAATCCTAAACCCTAAACCCTAAATCCTAAACCCTAAACCCCAAAGTAGTTTGTCTTGCCTGAGGATCGCCAAGGCGAGAAGTCGCTGTGCATGGCCCCAATTTTGCCGCATCCACCTGCGCTTGGCCAAGAAGCAGAGACCCCCTTTGTGCTCTTTCAGGAGCCACTATAGTGGTTTAGGGTTTAGGGCTTAGGGCTTAGGGTTTAGGGTCTAGGGTTTAGGGTCTAGGGTTTAGGGAACATGCTCAATCTGCGTGGCCTGGCCAAAGCATCGGTCAGCAGAAAGAAGAACAGCAGCACCACCACCTTCCGTGAGGGGCATTCCATCATGGGCAATCCGTACTCAAGTGCCTGTCTAAGCTTCCTGCGCAGTTGAGCAGGTATGGGCCTGCCGCTGGCACAGGTTGAGCTGCAAACAGCTTGCTCTAAGATCCAGCCAAAGGAGCCTAGCACGATGGCAATGGCCGGAATGAAGCGGTCTGTCTGCTGCAGCTCCAGCAGCGCGCTGGCAACAAGCAAGCAGAATTCCTTGGAAAGCGAATCTGCACGGCGATGAAATTCACTTGCAGCGTGGTCTTGAGGATCTGTCGAAAGCGCTGAAGCACGCAAAGACCGCTTCGATCATCTTGCAGGAATGCCTTGGAATCCAAGACTTGCGTTCGCATCTCGGCTACAGAAGGCCTGCTGTTCGTGTTCTGGGAACTGGGCGTCGTATCTTCGGGCTCATCAGCAGCATAACTTGTGGGATGCTGCTTCGCCTACCAACAGTCCGGGCTTACTGAGCCGTGAGGCAAGCAGCGCATGTGCCTGAAGCTTCGTGGCATCCTTAATCATGGTCTCCAACTCCCGCTTCAGGCCGCTCCTGAAAGTAGACGTCCTGAGCAGGCCCAGGCTCAGGTCTGTTAACATCCACCTGCAGTGGCCGCATCCGATTCGGCTCTGAGGTCATATCGTACTGCTGAAGGCGGTGGTCGCCTTGTCCAGCTGGTTCCGTACCACGCCCAGGAAGTTGCTTTCCTCAGCGCCACCATGCTTGCACAATCACCGTTACCCTTTCTATGCGCCTGCCATGCATCTGTTGACTTGGCTCTAACGCTAATTGCTCATTTCTCGGCGGTGTATGGGCACGCGCCAAAAGAGCAGGTAAATGAACCCAGGCTCCAGCATGGCAAAGATGTCTTGCACGTGTTGCATTTCAGATATCACCCGCTCCGTGATGGTCACCTCCAGCCCCTGGACTCCCTGTGCAAGAGAGGAGAGAAGGCTAGACTCGCCTGCTGTAGATGGAGAACGTCTGAAATACCTCAAGTATTCCCGTTGCTTCCATTCCTGCGGGGACATACATTATTGATCATTGTTGAGAATATTGGGGGGAGAGAGAGAGAGAGAGATAGAGAGAGAGAGAGACAGAGATATATACATATATATGTATATATTCTGCCATACATAGGGTGGCGTACGAACTGCTTATACCCCATCCGAGCATTGCCTGGCCCATCTTCTGAACCTCTTGGGCAAGGCTGCTGAACTCCGCAGATGAGGCAACCTCACACACGGTTTAAGGCTAAGGGTTTGGGATGATACCTTACGCGTTACACCTTGAAGAGTGCCTGACTGGGTCATTGAAGATCCTAGTCCAAGAGGGTATTGTCCCAATCCTCATAGTTCTTTGGTGGACCAGAGGCTTGAGGCCTTTGCAAGGACAGAGTTAGGCTCTTTGAGGCTCTGAAATTCAACACCCTCCCAAAACAAAAACGTGCCCAGGGGTTGCCAGTACACCCTAAAGCTGCCCTGCGTACTTCCAGTTGATGCAGAGTCGGTGGTTGCGTACTTCCATACTAGAAGCCAAGCATGCGTGTTGTTGGGTACAGCTGTGAAATGCAGATTTGACATTCTAAAGTCCTGACTTGTCATCATGGGATCCGTCCACGTGTAGCTGTCCCTTAGGAATCTTTCCGACAAGGCCCTCCCGGTGCTCGCAAGATACGAGGATCCCTCCGATGAGGGCCCTGAAATTTGAAACCCCCCGTGATGGCTCGGAGATGTCAGGGCCAGGGTACAGTGGACTGCTCACGCTCCCGGCGTTCCACTTCCACAGCGTCCTTAATCTCCCGGAGGTCCTGGGGCATCCGAGTCTCATTCAGAATATCAGATGGTAGCATGTGGTGGATTCCCAAAATGAGGAGACCCAAAGAAAAACCCCAAATTTGGGGAAACCCCCCATTTGTGTTGCTACCATAATTTGCGCGATTCGTCTCCACCTCTGGGATCTAGACCAAGGGAATGTAGCCCAGAGTTGCGGATCCATGGGGAGGCTGTAGGTAATATTGGGATAATATAGGGTAATAAAGGTTATATAGGGATACTGGAAAAAGTGGAAACTACTTATGGTTTCTCTCAAAAAGCCGGTGGGTGTGTAGAAAGCATGGTTTGCCCCTTGTCAGCCTCCCAAAATTACCTGGCAAGAGGCCCCTCATGCTTACAAATAAGGGGACCACTTGCTTTGGGAACCCTGGATCCTCTTCTATCTCCATGTATCTATGTAACCCTAAATAAACCTACAGAATTTTCGTAAACGTACATACCCTTATATAAGCTTATATAACCCTCTATACGCGTATATACCCCCATATACCTTTATGTAACCCTATGTTTCCCTCATATGCTCTCGTGTTCAAGGCAGTCCTGGTTCAGCGAGTCAGGAAAACTCACCTTTTAGGGTTTAAAGAGCTAAAGGGCTTAGTGTTTAGGGTTTAGAGTTTGGGATCTGGTGTTTAGGCTTTAGTGTTTAGGGCTTAGGGTTTGGGATTTAATGATTAGGGTTTAGTGTTCAGGGTTGACCGTTTGGGATTTAGTCTTCAGGGTCTAGTTTTTAGGGCTTAAGGTTTAGGGTTTAAGGTTAGGGCTACGATAGGAACACATGAACTTTGTTCATGCCATGGTACTGGTAGAATGTACTAATCATCATGGCGACGAAAACAGTAGCGTGTACCCTTTTACATGCGTCTATATCACCCTATAAATATCTCTATATAACCCTTTATAACCCTATATACCCCATATGCGCCCTAGTCCAAACTCCTAATATCCCCTCGTAAACCCTATAAACGTCCCCTGTATATCCCCTATAGAACCCACCTTCAAGGAGTTTAGCTTACGGTTCATGTACCCCTTTCATCCCATACATTCCCTGAGAGCACCGGCCTGGAAGCTGGGCTTCATGTACAGCTGTTTGCCTCACAGTATTGCAGAGGTAAGACTTTTATAGGGGTTATATAGAGGTGATATAGGGGTATACTGGGTTTAGGGTAGTTCCCAAAATCAAGGAGTTGTCCTTTGTACCCTTGAGATTTGTACCTTGGGTTTGGGTCCCTAAACCATGGAATATGGCCTTTAATAAGGGTAGCTGGTACACAAAACCTGGGGTTACAAACATTCAGGCTACAAACTTAAAGTCTTTGAGTTTCTCTACTCGCAGCCATTGGTTTACTATGGTTACTAGGTGCAGACCACATGAACTATAGTCTAAACTCCTAGCATCCCCGTTACTAACCCCTTTAGTAGTCCCCTATATAATCCCCTATAGGGGCGTTGAAGCTCTAGCTCACATAATCAGCTTAAGGTGGACAAGACGAGTATCGTCCCAAGAGCACATTACTGTGCATTCCCACAGGTGCTTCTGCGCGTTTTTCTAGCAAGCAGGTTGCATGACGACTTCTCTCAGCACTTATCTTACGGGAGAGTGGGGGAGTGGACCACTTTTACTAGCATAAGCGTGGCAACGAACAGAGAGCTTCCACTAACAAGGTATCTTACTAGCGGTTAGTAGGGAATACGGGAATATGGCCCCTATTTAATCCCTGGATAATCCCTATATAACATATGACATATGCCCTTACTCCCTACTAGGCTTACCAGGCCCCAGTAAGCAAGGCATCTTCTGCGGCCAAGGGGCATTCAGTGTGGAACTCCTGGGACATTTCCTCAAAGGTTCTCCTCACTGCTGCCGTCAGATCAGCTTGTCGAGGTGCCTTTTGCAGCCTCTCTTCGCACTGGAGTACGTGATCCTTCACCGTCAGGACATCCTTGCTGCGGAACCACATATGGGAGATTCCCAAAGTAGGGGTGCCTTTTCGGGATCCCTAAAACAAGGATTTCAATATTTTGATGTCCACACTGGGGTCCCCTTGTTTTGGGAAACTATTTATCTATCTGCTCCAGCAACAGTGCACAAGCAAGTGCCCGAAGATGCCCAATACATGAACGCAAACGGAACACTTCACATGTCTGTTCAGAGCCAAGACTCTTGTTTGACGGCAGCCACCGCAGAAGACTGCAGCTGCACATTCTGATCCACAGTCTCCTTATCCGCATTAGCTGCCAGCCGATAGAGGGAAAGCTCAAAACCCGTTCTGGACTAAATTGCAGCTATCACTCAACACTCCGCCAAGAAGCCAACTGTAGAGCAGTCTTTTGCCTTGGACAGAATGAGAATGTGACTTGCATTCGGGCGCACGTCGAACATGGCTGATGGTGCCGTCTCGCTGAGTTGAGACAGCTGGAATTTCTGCATATAGTAGGTAGCTATACTGGAACTAAGTTCTGTCAGGGTGCTGGGCATTCTGCTGGTTGGTTGAGATCATCTCTTCCAGGGCTCTCAGACGCCGCATCATCTCCTCCGCTTGCTCTGCTGCCATGGTGGTGCGACCAAAGAGGGCCATCAATGATGAAGAAATGAGCCATTGCTTAAACTCCTAGTATCCCCCTGAATAACCCCTATAATGGCCGCCTATATGATTCCACATATAACCCCCTCCAAGGCGTTTAGACTATAGCTTAAACGAACATGAAAACCTAAGTTCTCCTCCGTCGATTGCTGCAAGGAGCTCGTCACAGAATCCTGATGCACTGACAGACCCAGGAATCTCGATACAGTTGAGCTATAGTCCAAACTCCTTAAAGGGGGAATTATGTAGGAGATTATATAGAGAGTATGATAGTGGCTATTAGGGGGGATACTAGGAGTTTAGACTCGAGCTCATTTGAGGCTTTGTTGAGTACGCGATGCAGATGCATGAGCGGCAACATGGCTCCAACCTATGACGCACACATGAGCTGTAGTCTAAACTCCTAGTATCCCCCTTAATATCCCTTATAGTAGTCCCCTATATAATCCCCTTTATAACCCCTTTTAAGGAGTTTAGACTGTAGCTCACATCCCAACAAAGCAGTTCCTTTGATCATCCCACAGCGAGTTCTGACCTGCAACTATGTTGTTACTATTTTACATGTTTACTATTACTAGTAGTAATATTATCTTATATGACTACTATTGCTACCACTATTGCCAGTACATATATACTTATTACTATTATCTTTACTACTCTTGTTTATTACCCTTCTTATTGCTAGTATTGCTACTATTATTAGAGGTCCTTGAACTGGCAAACCTCCGCCTCCAAGACGCAGACTGATTGCCGAACCACCGCTGCATCCTCGCGGGCTTTTCCGTGGTCGATGCTGATCAGCTCCTCAAGGTCTCTGGGAAGGGGGATATCCGGGCTTTATAGGGCTTATATAAGGATTTATATGAGGATTTAGAGGGGGATATATAGGACTTTATAGGGGTTATATAGGGATGTATAGGAAGATATGTAGGGTTTAGAGTTTTCTACAGAAGGTGTGTTAAGAATTTTCTCTGGGAGGCTGAGGGAAGGTAGCCGAGAGTTGAAGCAAACTTCACCCACGTGCAGACGAGGAGCTGTCACGTGCTGGAGACCCTCCAGCATCCGCTGGCTTTGCTGTGAAGTTGGCAGGTCGTCCCTCGCATGTCATCGCTACATGCCACAAGGAGTGCCTGGAGTCCTAATCATTTTTTGTCATTATTCTTTTAATTGCAATTATTACCACTATAGGGTTATTACCATTATTGCTAGCATTATCATTACCACTATATACCACTATCATTATTTATCTATATCTGGCCCGTGCCAAGCTGCTGCTTGCAGCTCACTGCCACAATGTCGGACAAATGTTCCAGCTGCTGGAGCAGATGCTTAGAGTCCTGCAGCTTTCAGCGTACTAACCCGGGCTAAAGGGAAAACGGGCACGTAGCCCAAAACTGGCCTGCTCACTTTTCTGTTGCACCAGGAGCAAGGATTCCTTCAGCAGATGGGATGAACAAGCAAGCTTCAAACAAGGCTGCGGTCCATGCCTTCAGATCCCTCACATCTGCCGCCAGCGAAACACCGGCTGCACTTCCAATGAGCTCCTGTCGTTCACTCGCGTCTACAGCGGGCACGTTGGACATGCAAACTCGAAAAGCAACCCTCACAAAAACCCTTCTAATCCACCTTAACCAGCGGCCAGTCGGTTTGAGGGCTTGGTGAGAATTTTTCTGTTTTCGCCTCCTTCCTCTCCGCCGTTGTTCGCCGCCGCCACCAACCCCACGCCACCACCCGCCCGCATGCAAACCTCCTCCCTTCGAGATCTGAGTTCCCTTGCTACAATCGGCTCAAGTATAGCAAAAGCTTCCATCTCAAGGCTTCTGCGCGATGGTTTAGAGACATGAGCGAATCAAATGAGACCAAATGACGGACAAAAGTCCGGAACTCAGAACATGGTCGATCCAGAAGCCCTACAAACCCACTAAAGGTGGGGACCTTTACTCTCGTGTCACGTCAAACTGGAGGCATAATCGAGTAAAGATACATGTAAAGCCTGCTGCCTATTCGTCCCTTGGTCCAGCTTGCCGCATACTAAGTCTGAATTGCTACCCATTGCAAGCCAAGAAGCCTTGACGTTTTGAAGGTCCTCAGAGAGATAGGCTGATGAGGGCATGCAGCCCAGACAAACTTTTGGACGTCGGCAGAGCTGATCAATGAACACAATGCTACGAGCCAGTCAATCAAGGCAAAGATGCATTGCTTACGTGGAGAGGGCAGACGCAGGTGTCTGGCTGCCAGGGATCATGCAAGACTGGCTCGTTGTCCAGACTCGAAGGTCGCTGTTCGTGGAGTCGCCTTGCATCCTCCACGAGAGTTGCACTCCTCAGCTTGTGGGAGAACAGCACTGAGGGGGTGTTTACAAGCCCAAACCAGTGTCACTTCAATACACTCCTCGACATGGCGCCCAGGCCTCTGGTGTGCTGCCAAAATTCCCCTTCAAGGCTTTCTGCATTTCCTCAAAAGCTGACGTGAGCTCCGTTGCCAGCTTCTGTAGCGTTGCCTGCACGAGGATGCTCCGAAATCCTGTCAACGTTCAGCAAGCGGTGACAGACCGAGCCTGCGTATCTGAGGCAGTTGTGCTTGGCGTGGGGCATGCATTTCCTGCGGGAATGACATGCCAACGATGCGGCACAACGTCACTCAGCATGAGACCATCAACTACATTTTTGGACAAGGGTCGATTCTGGGGCGTGCTGGTTCGCTCCAGGATCAGGTGTCCACGAACAATCTCGGATAACTCCTGGACTCGTGGCAGATGCATCAAGGATTCTCCGAGATCGTTCAGAGGGTCGCAACAGGAATGGCAGGAGCTCGGGGCCCGGGACCGGACCTCACAAGACCAAACCCACCAAGGCCGGAAGGCCTAGGCCCCGCAAGCTGAAAAGACTTGCCTTCTTGGTTTATATTGGGATAATGGAAAATCAAATGGAAACTACTATAGTATATTGGGGTTCTATAAGCATAATGGAAAAAATGGAAACTACAGCAAATCTTACTCGTGAAAGTCCCCACATAAGCGCTCCTACAGCCATCCACACCTTCCTTACTTGGCCACAAGAAGACTAAGCCAGCTAGGCAAACCGCACCCCGCGCACCTCCTTACTGGTTCTTCGTAGGCTAATCCCTATGTAATCCCTATATAACCCCTATATTACTAATCCCTATATAATTCCCATATAATTTAGGGTTTAGGGTTTAGGGTTTAGATGTACCCTAATTCCCTACTAAGAACCAGGAAGCCTCCTGAGCAATAGCCACACGCCCCAGAGCCCCGCAGTGGTCACAGCAGCCCGGGGACTCGCGCTGAAGATGCCGTACTTCCTTTGAGAGCTTGCACTATAGGGGTACTGGTTTAGGGTTTAGGGTTTTTTTTTTTTGAGCGCCTCTTTTGCTCTCTGCAGAACAAAGGGTCCCATAGGCCCAGGCGGTTCACCGCAATCTTGCTACCCCTTCTGGGTGCCGGTTTCCAAGACTAGCTGAATGGCCACAAAAGCCTCAAGGACGTGCTGGCCATACAGGCGCTGCACTTGCTCAGACGTAAAACCTCCACTACTCCAGGCATTAAAGACACTCTGACCCTCAACCCCCGTCATGAACGCCGCAAGCTCAGCCTCAGTAATGAGTCCCTGCCCCGAACCCTGCACAGGACGTTCCTCACTCAGATGCAGCTCAGCCGGCTTCTCAGGTGTCAACGGGCTCACGCGTTCCGTAGAGCTGCCACTTCCACTTGCTTGTTCTCCCCGTTGAGCTTGCCCACTGGGAACATCTTCGGCCGTCTCATCCACCACCGTCCAGGTCAAGCCCAGTGTCATCGGCATGCCCGGCGTGACATTGAAGTCCAATCTTTTTGCTGGCACCAGCTCCCCTTGCACCTGGAGGGTCAGAACCAGCTTCTGTTTCTTTGCCGGCCTCACTCTAGCAGTCGCCACAGGACCCAATCGTCCCACTCCTGGGCATATTGGGCCTGTAAGGCCTCGTATCGTGCTTCATCTTCCTTTTCTTGCTCTGCCCTGTCCCTTTCGTACTCCAGGAGCTCCCTGTCCTGCCTTTCTTTCTCCCATGCCCGTCTCTCTCTGGCATCGTCTTCCTCGACTTGGCGCTTCATCTCCAGCTCCTCCTGCACCCTGGCATCGATGTCCGGTCTATCATCTTCCTTGCCCTTGTCCTGGTCCACACTTTCCAAAGACTCTGCCACCGTCTCTGCATCTGCCAAGGCACTACTCTGCGCCCTTTTCTCACGGAGCTGACGTTCTTCCTCAACCATAGGGACCAGAAGTCGCTTCCACCATCTTTGCCCCCACTGGCGGTCCTCAGCTGCTTCTGGCACTTCGCTTTCCACCGCAGAGTCGCCATCATCACAGGCCACAGCTGCAGCCTCCAGGGCCATGGCGCGTGTGCCCATTGCTTGTCTTCCAGAAGCGCATCCGTACCTTCTCGCCAACAACCCTCTCAACATGGACGATCTCACCCTGGCTTTGTCTACATCCAACGCTGAGAGCTCATCTGTCATGAACTGAAGTTCAAGCCCAAACGTAGAGATGCCCGTTGCCGGTGACCTCACGATCCTGGAAGCCTGCATAAGGCTGGTGTCATCGCGCTCGGGAGGACGGGCATTTTCCTCACGGGCTCTTGCAATCCTCCTTTGTGCGATCTCGGCCACCTGTGCCATCACGAGCCCCATGAACTGCTGATGCGCCGCTAGCAAAATGCTAACGTCTTCAGCTGGCCAGTCTGCAATGGTGTCGCGTACCCTATCAAGGGCCCATTCTGGGTATCCCAGGCCTCCATCATCCTCCATGTCAAGGAACTCCCTCCACAAGTGCATTGCATTCTCAATGGTGAAGGGCTCGTTGTCCGGTCTGGGCCCCACATGGCTTGCCGAGGGCTGCTCCTCCTCAGCATCAACCTCAACCACTTCATCCTCCTGTTCCTCTTCACATTCTTCTGCTTCTCCATCATGTCTTCCTCGAGCTGTCCATATGGAGAAGGGCCGTGCTTTCGGCTTGGCTTTTGCCATCCTCGATGGCTTGTTTTTGCCCTTGCCCTTGGCCTGTGCCCGCTTTGGCGAGGAGCCTCTCCAGTGTTCAGATTTCCATTCGCGATGTCGCCTTCGGTGCCAGCCTTCATCATTGCCACGTTTGAGCCATCTGTCCCTGACCGTATAGGTTCGTCTCCACGGTGGGATGCCCGTATCCCACGCCATCAGGACCACTTGGTCACTATCGTCATTGTACTCCTCAATTTGTGGCATCTCCAGATCTTCCTCACTGTCCACCTCTATGGTCAGCACCGCTATCCCATCATCTTCTGCTGCAAGGCTTTGACTGTTAGCCCCATCACAGCTCGCTTCCTGGGGTGGCAATGCCATGGCTGCATCTTCCTGTCCACCTTCCCTACCGTCACTATCAAGTGTCCCTGGGCCTTCCCATTCACGAACTCCAGGGTCATGCCCTCCATCAGGTTGTGCAGCTGGAAGAGGTTCACCGCATGCTGGCAGCCCCGGTCCTGCATCATCACTACCTGCCTGCGCCATCCCCACAACTTATTGCCTCCTGAGGTCTCCATTCCATCACTACATTGGGCCTTCCATCCGGTTGCACAGCTGGCTGAGGAATATCACCACATGTACTTTTGACTGGCACGCTATCCTGCGCAGGCTCTCCGGGCCACGTCCTCCACCACTTCCACCATTTCATTGAGCAATCTTCTCCGTTTGTACCTCCTCGAGGCTGAGCGGCAGGCAACTCGTAGTCTCGCCCACCAGTTCCATGCCCACTCCCCGGTATTGGTGTGTACGTTCTGGAGGTTCCTCATCGCTGCCAGCCATGCCTCTTGAATGGGCCTGATTCTCTCACTCGCCCTTCTTAAGCTTGGCAGCCGGCCCCTGCGCACATGTGCGCCAACCACCCACACAACATCCCTAGCCACTCGAGCATCCCTTATCCGCAGCTCTCTTGCCCGGTCGACGAATTCATCAATGAACACGTCCAGGCGGTCGTCATCTAGTAGTCCAGGCTGCCTTGCTTCTTCCATGAAACTAGTCAGCTCCTCCTCCTCTTTCACTGGGGAGGAGTCGTTGGGAGGGCGCCAAATGCTGACCCTCTGACTGCCCAGAAGACGGCTCCAGGTCTTATTGTCCTTCTTGGCCTTGTTGTAGTTGACAAAGTGGAGGACCTTTGTTCGTCCTGAGCTGGCCAAGGAAACCGGCGTCGAATTTCCGCACCACACGTAGGCACTGCATAGCACAAGCCACACAGTCCACATCATTTCACTGTAGGTCGAGCTGGGCACTATTACTGTCCCACACTAGACATTCTCAGCCAAAAGCAGCACACCACAAATGGCTTCACCCATGTCCAATGCATGCACAGTCACTGCCACTGAATACTGTCCTGCCTTCCACTTGCCCAATCCACATCCATCTGCTGCAAGAAAATCTTCTCTCTGTCTTTCCATACCGCTCGGTTCTGCGCTACTTCCCTCCACTGGCCACCTGCTGCCCTATCCAGCGCTCTCTCAAGAGGCATGAGACGTGCGAAGAATCTACCCTTGTGACGTATGCCACGCGGTCTGTCTTGCTCTCCAACCCACCAACTGAGCTGTCTCCTGGTATGAATTGCTCAAACCAACGCAATCACACCTCCAAACGTGCTGGGGCAGCAGCACCTTTGATATGAAGTCGGGGATCCGCCAAGGTGCAGTTGAGTCGCCGTCACTTTTTAGTTTACTCGCTGAGCTCTGCGTACAAACGGCGGCGGACAAGCGTGGGTGGGGCTCTGAGGACTCCCTGTTAGGGACTTACTTTTCATGGATGACGCTGTTGCTTGGGACGTTGATGCGGAAGTCTTGTCAAACAGGGTAAGGCAGTTGGCTAGTGAGCTGGCTACATGGGGTTTGGAACTTAACCTTGGCAAGTGTCAGTATTACTGCAGTCCGTATGCGAGTGGTGGCCGGGAGCTTGAAGTCATGGGTACACGACCATTTGGATGTTATGGGACTTTGTATGGGAGTGCACAAAACAGCATGTGAGACACTTGCCCCCCTTATCAGCAAGGCACAGGACAGTTTCTGGTCGATCAAACATATTTTGTGCAGAAAACAGAACCTGTGGAAGAGGATGCAGATTATGGACACCGTTGTTGGGGGATGCCTACTGTGGTGCATTGGGGCAATTATACCGGATGGCAATGCGCTTGGCTTGCTGAATTCCTTGCAACTCCAGTTTTCAGTGTGGATGAACAGTCGCGGTAGAAAGCAGGAAGAAGATTGGTTGCAACATCACATCCGAGTGAGACGAGAGATGAGGGCTATCTTGCACAAGTTTCAAATACAGAGGTGGAGCACGAAATGGTTACAGAGGGTATGGAGGTACTCAGGACACCGAGCAAGGGGTGCCAACAATGAAGTGAGGGTGGCCAGCGTCAAGATTGGCGGTTGTGGCCAACCTTCTCCTGGATCATGCTCATGAGTCTTCTTCTGGAAACGCGATCGAAGGCCTTGCTAATATCTAACTTAATCCACCTCAAACCCATACGCCACTCTCTCTCCAGATGCATGAGCTTGCGGATTGTGTAGATATAGTCTGTTGGTTGCCGCCCTTTGCCCGAGCACTGACGCCCTCCTGGTTCCCCAAGTCTCTCATTACACCTCTCCAGCAGCATACGCGAGTAGAGTTTGCAGGTAGCAGAACTCAAACTGATCGGCCTCACATGTTTTGCTTCAACTGGAAACCTGATTTTCGGCAAAACCACCATCACAATTTCGCACCAGCTCTCAGGTTGCACACCTGTTTGCAAGATCCCATTGTACCATTGCAACAGTTGCTTCGCCGCGTCCTCTGCCCGACAGATGGCCTGTAGCAATTCATGACTCACCCCATCAACCCCCACTGACTTGTTCATGGCTCCTTTCGCTGCTGCGTCACACAACTCCTGCATTGTAAAGTCAGGGATTGGCTCTTCCTCCTTTTCTTCCCACGCCGGCATGTCTTCTCCTTGGTATGTTCTCTCAAGATGCCCATGTGTAGCCTCACGCGGAAAATCCTGCGTCGCCTCAGCAAACCCCGTCTCCCACTTGTCCGTTTTCTTCCTGTTCCCTCGGATCGCTCGCCAATCCCCTTGCGCCGCAGCGTCCAGTCTCTCTTTTTCCCACACCATTCTCGCCTGGCGCCGTGCCTGCAATGCTTCCTTCCAATGACTGGGATGCTTGGTGGATCTAGCGCGTTGAAATTTGGCCTTAACATCAGCCGTATCCTTGTAGCCCTTTCCCTCTGGTGTTCTTGTGCATTGCTTGGCCACTTGTTTCAAGACCTCTTCATTGATCCCATCCATCCGGGGCAGGGGCCGGACAACCATTCTCGGCCTTGTATCATATCGCCTTTTGCCCTGCTGTCCATACTTCACAAAGACCCTTGTTGTGATCATATCATGGTCGGTGCCCACAATGTTGCAGCTATCAACATGGACTGTCAGTGGTGCTGGCTCGACCCTCGCGCTGGCGATAACATCAATGACATTACCCTGGACACCCGCTTTTCTCGGCCTTGACGTGGGTACATGCCTTTGCTCCTCTCGCGGTGTGTGCGTTCTGAGGCTCCTTGACTTCATAACATCCAACATTTTAAGCGCTTTGCCGTCCTTCCCAAACGGAAAAAGCCCTTGCGCACCCCTCCCCCATCCAACACACGCATTGACATCACCCATCAACAGTGTCGGTAGTGTTGTCAGCGGCAGCATTTCCATTGCCTGATTGATCTCATGTGCATGCGTCACCTGAGAGCATCTTTGTGTACAATGTATGCTCCCAACCCACATCTCTGCTTGAGTCTCCACATGACGTACTCTGACCCATAACCCTCTGTCAAACTCTTTACGCCTCATGATTGCCCAGACCTTCGGGTTATACATCACTCCAACGCCCCTCCACTGATCATGTGACCGATGCGACAGCACTTCCCATCCATGTAGGCTCTCAGTTTTCCATCCCACGCTTCCGCGAGGCAACTCCTGCAGTGCAAACACACTTTCCTCAAGGTCTCCATGCAGGCCTTCCTTCAGGCGCGCAGCTTCACAAATGCCTTGTGGCAGCTCATCCATCGCCACGCCGCCTAAGTTCCAGCTCCCAACTTGAATAGTCAGCGTGCCTCCCGCACCATCAAAGGGTCAGCGTTGGGTATCTCGAATCGCCTGCTCAATCTCACTCGGTGCCATGCCCAGCTCACGGGAGATACCTCCGACACGCAGCCAATGTTGCTCCCCATCCTTCTCCTGCATGTAAAGGTTGTCCTTGTCTGTGGAGCCTATACCAGATACCTTCGTGCTCCCTAGCCATGAGGATCCTGTAGAATGCTCGACATCCACCCCTGCATGCGCCTCGTCCACATTCAGAGCCTTCAGGATCTTCTTGATCCAGGTTGCATGGGCACCTCTGCGCCGCTCCTGTGGTGTTTTCGAAAACGATGCCCATATCCTAGCCCCTGCCGCTGTCTTAGGAGCATTCTTCAGAAAGGCGCTGATGACATTGTGCATCCTCCTTTTTAGGAGTGTGTGTTCCTCTCCGCAACGCGGCCAAAAGTTGGACAATGCAATGGATCGTCTAGCCCCTGTCATAAAAGGGTCGTCATCAAAGTAGGCTTCCGTATGAGTCTCCTGAATCGCCTTCTGCAGGTCCTGGAGGATGACCTGGCGTCGGCTCTCTCTTGGCCAACCACCAAACACCAGTGTCATCCTTGCAGCCGTGTCCGATGGCGCCTTTGTCGAAGTATCCCTGGCGGATTCCAAGGCAACAACCCTCTTACTCAAGGCCTCCACCACAGACTCCATATGCTCCATTTTGGTGTTCGTCTCATCCAATCTGCCAGTGACGGTGCGGAACATGTCTTCTTGCCGCTTCTCCATCCGGGCCAGCGCCTGATCCAACTGCTTTTGGTGTGAATGTAGTAGCCCTTGCGATTGTTCCTGCAACAGCCCTCTAAGCGTACTCATCTCGAGCAGAACATGTGATTCACTCCTCTTGGGCTTTTTCACGACTTCCAAGTCCGGGACATCGTCATCTGAGATCCCAGTGACCTCTCGACCCTTCCTAGGCGATGCCATCAGCCCTTAGGTTGCCAGGTTCCCTTCCTTGCCAAGTCACAGTCAGCTAGCTCAGGTAGCCCTTCACCCAGCCACAAGGTAGTCCCGAAGCCTCACCCCAGGGCAACACAAAGAGTGGGTCACAGGCCGGCAGCGCAGAAGAGGATCCCTTCCTTGCCAGATCACAGTCACAGGAGTGCCCTTGTCCCTCACCCAGCGTACCGGTAGACCCGAATCACGACAAGGAGAGGCCTCAGGGGCGGGTCAAAGGGCAGTCGTGCAGCACAAGATCACCTGGTGGAGCGCACACTACCTTGCCACACTCCCCAGAGCCGATGGAGTAGACGCAAAGTGCCCAAACTGGTAATTGACGATTATTGCAGCACCCCTACAGGCCAAACAGGGAAGACAGGGCAACCTCTAGCCACCTCACCTTGAGCCTTGAGCCAAAATGGTTTGAGGGTTTAGGGTTTAGGGTGGTAATAACCACTATCATCATAAGACTAATACTGGTACCAATACTTAATACCAATACTGATACTAAGACCAATACAAATACTAATACCAGTACAAATACTGATACTATTACTAACACTGATAGTGATCACAGTAGTAGCAGTCGTGATACTTGTGTTACTAGTGGAAATTAAGGCAGAGGGTCTGTCTGCGGACTGCTTAGCTCTGAAAAGAACGCGCTGGGGGTATAGGGATCATTGGGGTTATATAATAGAAGGTGTGGGGGTTATATAGGTGTTATGCATAGGTGTTATATTGGGGTTCATACAGGGGTATATAACCCCAAATCCGAAAACCCTAAACTCTAAACCCTAGGGGCTTCACCAGACATCGACCACACTTGGGGTACCGCAAGCTCTTGCAGCTGCGCTAATAGCTCAGGGAACCTCCGACTCTGCTGCGCAACGCATGCATGGACTTCGGTGAAGCCCCTATGTGCCCCAAAAACAACCCATAGCCCCTATATAAGCCCTATAGAACCCCTATACAACCCCTGTACTCCCTGTAATCCCTACTTACCCCTAAACCCTAAACCTGTTAGGCCTTTTAGATCTGAATAGCAGCAGATAGCATGCCAGGATGCTGCGAGGATGGTCTGCAGGTGAGTCTGTACTGCGGCAGTGTCATCTGGCGGGATAGGCGTAGGAGTCGGCCTGGTAGCTTTGAAGGGAATTTCTCAGAAAGGGGGGCTCCAAGAGGTAAACTCTTCCCTAGGGTCCCAATATAGGTTATATAGGGATAACGGAAGAGAAAATGGATACTAGTATATATAGGGTTTAGGGTTTAGGGTGTAGGGTATAAGGTGATAAGGGCTCCTGTTAGGGCCGGGATTCTGCAGGAAACTTTTCAGAAGCTCCCACAAGAGTACAGCAAACACGTTGCGTGAATGAGGCAACCAGGAGGTTCTTCAAAGTTGCCCCTGTCCTGAAAACATAACCTTCATAGTGGTTTCTATTTACTTTTCCATTATCCCCATACAGTAATTTCCATTTTCTTTTCCATTATCCCTACATTATACCTCTGACCATGTTCCACATACTCTAGCCAGGCATCGCCAGCTCTGACCGCGTGTGCAGAGTCAGCTCCTCCCGCAACATACGCCTTGTATCCTCACAGACACCAATGATCACCAATGGATAGAGTCCCCCTAAGTAGATGGAATATGGCTTTGGGTATAATGCTACAAGGTCCCCATCTACCCTTTATTCTATCTACTTAAGGGGGGCTATAATGTTCATAACCGATGTAAAAGATGATCATGATCATGCTGATCACAATAATGACATTACGGCTACTTGACGCTACGTGTAGTAGCAGTAAGCAGAAGAAGCCCCTACCCCCCTAACAGGAAATCTTGTGACTTAGTTAGTGTGGCTTACCCGGTGCCTCATTCCAATTATTGACGAGGTCCATCAAGCGATGACCATACTGGCCGTCCTGCCATGCCCAAGGCCCACATGCCTGTCCCCTCGCATGCGTACTTTGGCGGTCCACATATCTATACATGTGTATATATATATATACACATGCACATACATAAATATGTGTATATATATATACTGTGCATATATGCCCGGCCCCAGCAGAGAAAGAACAACAACCCATTAAACTTCCAACAAAGTACGGCGAGGACAGATCACCTGGGATCTTTCTGGGGTGTCTCTCTCGTTTCCCGGCATGTCCCGCGTGTCAAAGCTCAGCGGGGTGGAGGAGGGGCGCTCAGTTGGCGATGGTGAGCGCCGCTCCGGCGAAACCTGCAGCAGTCATTCTGGTCTGAAGTAGCCGCAAGGATCCACTTACAGTAGTTTTAGTTTTCTTTTTCATTACCCCTATATAACCTGAATATATACCCTACTATAGTAGCTTCCATTGCTCATCTGGCCACTCTTCAAGACTTCCTGCTGCCAAGATGCTCCAACGGGGCTTAGCGGATCCAACTTTGCCGGGGTGTGAAATGTGTCAATTCGCTGGCCTGAGATCACAGCAGCTGCAGAGCTCAGTTTTTAGAGCAGGAAACCTCACTCTAGCAAGGAGCGTGCAGCCAGCAAAACCCCATGTGGACCCAAAACAGGACAATCCCTATTATAGGGACCCCCCAAAGCAGGTATCCCTTCTTTTGATCAACTAAGGCGCTGTTGTACAAGCGCTCGTTCAGCATGGACACGTCTGAAGATGCTCCGACCCAGTCACCACTTTTGGATGCGCTTCCTGAGGCCATTTGAGGTTTCTTTTGGAATGTAGGCCCTTCTGGCCGAACACGCTTGGAAACGCAGCAGTCAGGAAGGCAGGTCACTAGCCGGCGCTGCAGCTGACATCGGTGATCAGCGAGGTCAAAGGCACGGCCGGAGACCATGAATGCCGAGAATTTACGGAATTGGTGCAATGGCCTAAGCAAGCAGCATCTTGAAGTTGGCTAGCCTGGCGAATCCGGCAGGATCTAGATGTCTAGATATGTGTGCTTCCTGTTTAATTATCGCTTTGGGCCAGAGACAACGGATGATGGCACGGTGCTCTCAGTGTACGCGTCAAAGGCACACTGCTTTGAGCAAACTATGCCTACCAACTACCAACCCCAGTACACTAGGACTCTGCTCTTGAACTTGCTTGGCAATAATTTCTGCGTGGCACTGGTCGTCTGCCAAATGTCTTGCATCTCTCTACAGTGGACACCCTGCAGAGTGTACTGGCTGAATTTGAAATCGGATGCCATGTCGGCATATCAGACCCTGGTTGGCCCCTGTACATCGCACGGTTGTGCAGATTCACTGAGGGTGATCCTCCTCAGGCCAACAAGGGTCTGGTGCTTGATGCTTGGCTTGCAGATTTCTTGTCACTTGGGCTGCTGAGATGGAGGGGTGAATCCTCACAGGGCGAAAGATACTGCAAGCCATGGTCATGCTGTGCGTGCAATTACTTGGAGCAACCCAAGTAAAGCCACTCCGTAGACATCAGCTGTTGGGGCTGTTCTTAGCGAAGCATAAGGCTTACGTGTTGGCACAAGACAGATGGGTGTGCTCGTACCTCAAATTCCCACAGACCACCATGCGGTGGCTGCAGCTGTAACATAACTTAAATGCAAGGCCGGTACGCTTTCGTTCTGACCAGGCAACCAGTGCCAAACGATCTGGCATGCTACATGCTGACGACAGCCGGACGCAGTCTCGGCTCATTCAAAAAAAGTGCTCTTCATTGATCTACACACAAATGTGGAGTCGCCTCACACGCATGTCCTTTGAAGACATGCATGTTCCAGGCAAGTGGCCATGATCAACCCTACTACAAACCATCTCCGCGTCAGTGCAGAAAAACGTGCTGTCCACATTCGGTAGATACCAGGCCTTGAAAAGAACACTCTCAGTCTGCACTGACAGTCCGCTCCGCACAGGCCCAAGCCTAGTCCATCCAAAGTGCCTGGCTTCCTCCTACGCAACCACCCCTTGTGGAGCCCAAAGGCCCCAGGGGAAGCTCCTTCTGATGGGAGCACTGCCCGAAAAACTGCTCAGGGTCGGCAGGGCTCGTAAGGGCACCATTAGCCTTCCTGAAGCTACACTTACTGGGGATTAGTAGGGAGTAAGGGCATATTTACTATCCGGATTATATAGGAGGTATATCCTAAATCATTGGACTATATTTGGGGATTTCCCAAAATTAGGGGTACCATTTTGGGGGTCCCCATAATCAGGACTATAGTATTTTGGGGTCTATATTGGGGTCCCCCTATTTTGGGAAACTACCATTTCCTTATTCCCTACTAACCACCAGTAAGTACATCATGCTACATCGACACCTCAGAAGCTCAAAGCAGAGCTTTTCACCTGAACCTGACTGGCCATCTTAGGGTTTAGGGTTCGGGGCTTTAGAGATTTGGGGTTTAGGTGCGCCCGGCCAAGCTATGGCATCAAGAAATGGCTCAAGATATTCGATGACTGCCACGCAGACTTCGACAGCCAGCCAGGTCTTTAGAGTCGGGGCTTAGCAGGGACCGTCCCGCAGGATCAACCTGCCAGCAGGCAAGGAGTTATGTTTCGAGGCATCATAGAATCAAGAAAAGTCGACTGCCCCACGAAATTCACAGCCCTTTGACCTCCTGCCTGGCAGGCCGAACCTGTTGAAATCCGTAAGCCCCTCCTGCTCAACTCTGCCTCCAGCCGCTCGGGCATTCTTAGTGCCCGGGCGTTAGAGAGAAGTGCCAGCTTAAATCGTGAGAACCAAGGAAGCTCAGCGCCGAGGAGGGAAAGTCTAAGACACGAGACAGCATCCCTCAAGTTCTCCGAGCCAGGCACTCAGCAGCGCAATATGGCTTCCCAAACAATCTTCTACGGGCTCTCATCGCGCGCCGCTGACATGCCGACCATATATCAAAATCGTGAGTGCTACGTGACGGCAAGCAGCAACCATGCAACTGCAGCAGCATGGGCCAGTTCAGGAGGCTAAGTCACCCGCCTGAACCACCCAAACCTACAACAGTACAGCACACACAGCCCAGCGGCCTAGCGCTTGACGTCATTGAGTTACAGAGCGATTCATGATGTTGTCCTGCTCATATGGTTACTAGCCGCTACAGTTGCAGGGACCTATCTCGCTCGTCATGCCGCATCAGATCGCATGAGTGGCCTAGCGAAGGCAGCGAGCATGCAGCTTTGCAATAAAGACATCATGAAGGCACTGTCCATTGCTAGAGGCAGGGGATGAAAGGAGTATGGCGAATCAGAAAAACCATGTGGGAAGCCGCCGAGGGCGAAGTGAGCATCCTACAGCATCAACAGAGACATACTGGAGACCAGAGAGGCCGATGGTCTGCAGCCACATAAGCGGCCCTGGGGTTGTAGCTCTCCATGTCATCTCGTCATTATGAACGGGATGTGCTTTTGATGTTATCTCCTATATGCGACTCATTGCATGGCATGCTTTGACACAAATAGGGTCGTGCCAATCCACGCCATGAAAAAAAAGTCGCGAGCTTCAATCATGAAAGAAGGGGAGGCGGATTCCTCGTGCAGTCCAGTTTATTGTCCCCACCTGGCTGTTCGGGCTTGTTGCCTGTGTGATTTCTGACATTCGCCTGCGATGGCCTGCGAAGTTTCAAGGCGTCGATCTGTGAAAGTCACCTGGGTCGTTATGTTGGGTTCAGCTCGCGATATTCGATTTACCCCTACAGCTGCGCGGGGGAGCTGGGAATCCAAGAACAGCTGGATACACCCATGGCTCTATTGGTGTTATTTATGTATACATATATACATATATATATATATTTAGGGAATAATGAAAAGAAGATGGAAACACATACGCACAACAAAACAGGACTGTGTCTGGAGCCTTCACAGGAGTTGTCGTTGGTGAGGAGTGGCTGGTGCTAATCCGGCCCATGACCTCACAAGTAAAGGCGGTTCAATGCAACCAGCTCCACTTTGTCAGATTTCTACAGAATTAAGGGTTACTTGGAGGGTCATGGGGACTTAGTAGGTAGGTTAAGAATCCCTATAACCCATATAGTAACCCTGGTTATCGCCCTGATTAACCTACTTACTAAGTCCCCCTGACCCTCCAAGCACGGGTTCAACCAGCTCCTCTTTGTCAGATTTTCACAGGGCTTAGGGTTTGGGGTTCAACCAGTTTTTCACCATCATGCAAGAGCCTTCCGGCTCCCACCTCTCAGGGTCCGGCACCTCCCCAACGCATCCGAGAAGGGCTACCCAGGAGGCACCTGTGGGTTTCCCTCAACTAAAAATACTGGCTATAGGGGTTATATAGGGATGGAAAAGACAATGGAAACTACTATTCAGGGTTTAGGCTTTCCCAAAATTAGGGACCTTTTCGGGGGTCCCAATATTAAGGATTGTTGTATTATGGGGTCTATTCTCGGGTCCCCTAATTTTGGGAAACTACCACCGCCCAGTTGGCTGAAACAGAAGAACCCCAATATCACCCCAATGTACCAAAGTAGTTGCCATGTTGTTTTCCATTCTTCCCCTATATACACATATAATCCCAACATAACCCCAATGTACTTAAGTATCTTCCATGTTCTTTTCCATCATTCCCGATATACATATACATAAAATCCCATTATGACCCCTATACTCTAAAGAAGTTTCCATGTTCTTTTCCATTATTCCATACTTGTATATAATGAAAAAAGCCCTGGGCCCTGGATGGCTGAGGCATCAGCTTCCAGAAGCTACCTTCGCGAGGTGAGTCGTGTCCACTCGCGGTGCCCGCCGTTGTGGGTGAGGCCTCAATTTCCAAAATTAGGGGTACCTTCAAAGGGATTATAGGGGTTATATAGGGAATATATAGGGATTATGGAAAAGAAAATGGAAGGTTCGCACTATTTAGGGTTTAGGGTTTCCCAACATTAGGGGTACCTTTCGGGGGTCCCTAGAATAAGGATTCTAATATTTGGGGCCCCTTATTTTGGGAATCAATCCCGTGGGCTTTGAGTTGTTATATTGGGTTTTATTGGGATAATGGAAAAGAAAGTGGAAACCCTGGGTCCCTGTAAAAGCACGTACAGGGTTATATCGGGTTTGTGTTTGGGCTATATTTCATCACTGGAATGTGCTGCCACGGCTGGCACTGGTTGAGGATTGCACACTGCAGTGCTCCTGCAAGCTCTCCGGAGTGCATCTGGGGCTGCCACCAACCTGATCAACACACCAGGGTGTTTGAACGCTTACCTTATGAATCACGTCCCTGGCATGCCTGAATGGCTACGTAGGATGGGCTCTTCCAGCACCCCGCGGCCATGTCCTGTGTGGGCTCACTTGAGAGACATGCGGAGTGCGGCAGCTCATTACTGCAGCGTCCTCTGGCCAGGATTCAGGGCTCCCGTACCTCAAGATGGACTACAAAGGCACCTCCCACATTCTGCACCCGCTGCTCTCAGATGCGCTCAGATCTCGGCGCTGTCGGCGAAGGATCGACTGAAAGGACTACATATGGCCTCGAGGAGAAGCATTTTGCTCTTTTGCATGGTCACACTCTGCCACTTGGGCGGGCACTCAGTCGGCGTCTCCGTGGCGGAAGCTGCGGTGCCAGTGCAAGGCCTAAGCATCGCCAGCTGAGCCCACCGGAGCTGCGAAAAGCGGAAGGGCTTCAAAGGGCTCCGGCTTGGAGGCCGACTCAGTGGGCGTGGGTGCAATGTTCAGCGCAATGAAAGGCCTAACAGCAACGGCCGCGTCGCGTCGCGACACTCTCGCTGGCACGAAGTATGATGCTGCTCTGGGCTGCCGGGCTGGGAGCTTTGAGACTCAGCAGCGGAACTGCTTCCCACAACTGGCAAGATGCTGCAAGCTGAACATTGCATCTCCAAGAA